CGTGGTGGCCGTGTGTGCATCGTATCGGTGCTCCCGGCATGTTTACCAAGCACGTTTAAGTCAAGCCCAGCAATGCCTTTGCTTGCGCGAGCCAGTGCGGGCCGCGCTGGCATCGCATCCGATTGGTGCTCCTGCCATGTTTGTCAGCCATGTTTCAGCAATGCCTTTGCGCATGCGAGCTCGTGGTGGCCGTGTGTGCATCGTATCGGTGCTCCCGGCATGTTTACCAGGCATGTTTACGTCACGCCCAGCAATGCCTTTGCTTGCGCGAGCCAGTGCGGGCCACGCTTGCATCGCATTCGATTGGTGCTCCTGCCATGTTTGTCAACCATGTTTCAGCAAGGCCTTTGCACATGCGAGCTCGTGGTGGCCGTGTGTGCATCGTATCGGTGCTCCCGGCATGTTTACCAAGCATGTTTAAGTCAAGCCCAGCAATGCCTTTGCTTGCGCGAGCCAGTGCGGGCCGCGCTTGCATCGTATCCGATTGGTGCTCCTGCCATGTTTGTCAGCCATGTTTCAGCAATGCCTTTGCACATGCGAGCCCGTGGTGGCCGTGTGTGCATCGTATCGGTGCTCCCGGCATGTTTACCAAGCATGTTTAAGTCATGCCCAGCAATGCCTTTGCTTGCGCGAGCCAGTGCGGGCCGCGCTGGCATCGTATCCGATTGGTGCTCCTGCCATGTTTGTCAGCCATGTTTCAGCAATGCCTTTAAGCGCATGCGAGCTCGTGGTGGCCGTGTGTGCATCGTATCGGTGCTCCCGGCATGTTTACCAGGCATGTTTACGTCACGCCCAGCAATGCCTTTGCTTGCGCGAGCCAGTGCGGGCCGCGCTTGCATCGTATTCGATTGGTGCTCCTGCCATGTTTGTCAGCCATGTTTCAGCAATGCCTTTGCACATGCGAGCCCGTGGTGGCCGTGTGTGCATCGCATCGGTGCTCCCGGCATGTTTATGACAGTTATGGCCATTTATCAGTTATACCTTATAACTGGTAATAAATGGGATTAAGTATATATGTTCTATAATTAAATGGGGTTATAAGTACTTATAACTGGTAAAGGGCCATAACTGCAGGCATGTTTAGGTCAAGCCCAGCAATGCCTTTGCTTGCGCGAGCCAGTGCGGGCCGCGCTTGCATCGTATCCGATTGGTGCTCCTGCCATGTTTGTCAGCCATGTTTCAGCAATGCCTTTGCACATGCGAGCTCGTGGTGGCCGTGTGTGCATCGTATCGGTGCTCCCGGCATGTTTACCAGGCATGTTTAGGTCAAGCCCAGCAATGCATCGTAGCCATGTGTGCAGTGCACGCTAAGTGCACGCCGAAAAAGCTGCCTAGACGACCAAGTGTAGCGCAGAGAAAAAAGCAGCTGTCGAGCTTGGACTGCGTGAATCTCCTTGACAGGTAACAACTACACCATGTTTACACTTGCCATTGCGATTTGATGCAATGCATCAACGCTTGGCATTAATGACCTCAATATTGTAAATATTTTATGGTCTACGCCTTTTGGCATGCAGAAGAATCGACATGAGTTACGCTCAACCTTGCTGACGTGCACAAGCGCCGAGAAGAGCTCAGATGAGATGAAGTGTGGAGTGTGAAGAGTAAAGTGTGAAGTGTGGGGCGTGAAGAGTCCAGTGTGAAGTGTGAAGTGTGGAATGTGAAGAAAGCAATGAGAAGTGAGAAGTGTGAAGTGTGGACTGTGAAGTGTGAAGTGTGGAGTGTGAAGTGTGGATTGGGGAGAGCGCAGTGTGAACTGAGAAGTGTGAAGTGTTGACTGCGAAGGGTGCGGTGTGAAGTGTGAAGACTGTCAAGTGTGAAGTGTGACGTGGAGCTTCAAATGTGACATGTGAAACAAGACCCAAGTTTCGCAGAGTGCACGCACGCGCGGGCTTCGCTGGCGCACGGCGCATGCAAGTTCTATAGATGAGAAAGGTCTTATATATATCTTTAAGGCAACTTCCGCCCCGCCTCGTGCGGGTACTACTGGTACAACAGATGATGGTTTAGTAGAATATATGAGATACAGAAAAGAAGATGAAGATGTTAATTTTTCAAAAGATATATACATCAATCAAGACAAAAAGGCATATTTTCATAAAGAAACACGCAAGAATAGTTATATAGTTAATGAAATACCGCAGGTGTTAATCATTTCAAGTTAATCAATAAGACCCTAACGGGGACATAAGATTTTATGCTAATAACAGTATAAGACTTTTCGTCACGCCATCAAAAGTTTCTGTTCCAGCACCTTATACATTAGAGGGAAACCTTTTGGACACATCACAAAAAAATATGAAATATGATATTGAAGAACAAACTTCAATTTTACAAAAATTGTAAATAACATTAAACCTCATACTTTCAAAATGAAAGAAGAAAAAGAAATTGGAATAACTAAAGCTCATCTTGTCTTTATAGCAGAAGATGCTGAGGAAGCTTTACCAGAAAAAGTTGAAAATATTATTATGGAGGTTGATGGTATTAAGAAATTAAGTTATATTAAAATGGGAATTATCACTTGGGGAGCAGTAAGAGAATTAATTGATGAAAATAAAAAAAGAAAAATCAAATACAACATTTAGAAAGTTCAGTTTATGAATTACAAGAGATGATGAAAGACTTAATGAAACCTAAACCAAAGGCAAAAACAAAGGCAAAATCAAAACCAGAAAATTAATATATATATATATTAATATATAAATGGGTAATAAACAATCTACGGTTGAAAATGATTGTATAAAAGAATTCAGCAATATAAACGAAGAAGATTTAGACATCAGTAATATAGATAGGCTACAGATTAAAGCAATAAAAGACATATCCAATAAACTGAAGGAAATAGAAGACAAAAAATCTGATAGAATATTGTATAGACTACCCGCTATTCAACTTTGTAGTTGGAGTTTAATTTAATAATACTAAAGACATTAATATTATTAATTTATATGAAACGTTTTCTCTAATCTTATCATGAAGGTCTTATTTATATCGCTCTCACGAAGTTTCACAAAAAAAATGAATAAGGTTGGTCGTTTACAGAGAGATTGTATATTTGATACAAAGGTTTTTTTATCAACTAATGCTGATTGTTCTTCAATGAATGTTTCAATTTCCTTGATATTTTTCAGTTTGAATATATATAATGAACTTGTATTTACTCTTACAATAGTCGCAAGTGCGTTCAGTTTCTGCGAGGCAGTGATTACTGACAATCCAAAGTGTCTTGATTTTGTGTATAACCCATGGAGGATTTTTGAATATCTCATGAACGTTTTGTCTTCCGCAAAGTCGTCAATAATCAACAGACAACTGAAAAGGTTTTTCATTTTCATTTTCTTTTGGTATTCTATCACCTTGTGCTGTGTGTCAATGATGTGTGATAAACTTTCTGGATTGTATTCATCGAACAAATATTGTTCTTTTTTATTATCAACTTTCAGTTCTTTCTCAATACATTTTATGATTTCTTTGTAAGCTTTATTAATGTGAGCTGTTGGACTGACAATGTATATTCTTTCAAAGCAGTCCGTGTAAATCTTCAACACAAGATTTGTATACGAATACCTTTTCCGCCCTGACTTGCACTAACAATAATGCTTCTGAATGGTAGTTTGTGGCATGCGGCTGATACGGCGCCCTTGGAAGGGTTGCCAATTTTGAGATGTGCCATTTACGATCCCTTGGAAGGGTTGCAAATTTCAAAAATGAGGCTTGCGGAAATGGGGGTATAGGATTTGATTTTTTTGAGTTTTTAACATGTTGCACATGCTGTCGTATGACCATCAGGGGGGGTGGGGGTGGGGGCTGGGGGGGTGTATTAACGTCCCTGACGAGCACTTCCTTTACGTTACCGTTGCACATGCTGTCAGTTGTGTCAAAGATTATCCCCACAAAAGGTTCAAGTTGGCCCAAGTCAACCACAAACAAAAGATTTTACTAAGACTAAGACTTATCATGTTCGAGGTCGTTTGTGGGATAAATCCTATAGAACCATTGTTGCTGGTACTCAACAAATGGATGGAACATGGAAACACTTGAAAAAATGGCGACCTCCGTCGATACGCCACAAAAAAACCAAAACGTGTACACAAAAAGGTACACTTGGGCCTACAGCTGGACATGGCGTCACAACGCTGCCTTGTTGCAGACTGTGGCTTCTGCGTTGCCACAAGCGCTCTGGCACCGCTAGCGTCGAGAAGAGGAAAAAACTGGAAGAGTGAATGTCGCCCTGATATGATTCGGATGATTGAAAATCATAAATTTTAATGTTTTTTTTGACCCTTGAAGAGCAAAATCGAGTCACCGCGCAGGCGAAACGCAAATTTTCACTCTTGAGTCACACGCCTGCCAATCGAAATGAATGTCCATGTTGCAAACATTTTTTGACGACTCCTGCAAATACCAGCATTTTGTCTCTTAGCTTCAAAAATCAGAATTTCAAATTCGTCACCCTTACAAGGGCGCCGAGTCAACCGGTTGCCTAGTTTGTCCGCTTGCGGGTATGGAGACTGTTTGAACTCATACTGTTTTTTGCATAATAATATAATAATATATTTAGAAAATAATTTTGTAATATATATTGTAATGGGATTTTACACAACGTGGATAGCACCTTCTTGGGCGTAAAACTTGAAAGGCTCATTTAACAAAAAATGAGACGGCCTAAAAAACCTCAATAATATAACTGGTTTGGAAAACAAGAAAAAACTTTGAGTGAAACTTTAAACATGAGTCTGTTTCCGTATATCGACCTTACCAAAGACTCGAAACGTGTTAGGAAACGTTTGACAGGATGATATCAATGTATCTCATGCTGTGATGTTCCTGGTTCAAGTCCTTCAACAAAGAAGGCAAAACAAGAGCAACGAAGCTCAAATGTTTTTCATGTGCATGTTTGGCATTCAGGTAGTCAATCAACATCTTTGCACATGATCTTGAACACAGGAACTTTTGAATCATACTTCACTCAAACTTTTTCTTTTGGCAGTAGATCCATGCTGCCTGCGTCGTCCTCTGGCCCGGCTTTCCAAGCTGTGAACACGTTTCATCTTCGGCCTGGACAGGATCCACCTCGGCTTCAACCACAAGCAGTCTACACCTACGGTCGTGGGGAGTCCTTCAACCAAGTGGACTTTGACATATCCCACAATTTGTGCACCCCTTTTAGAATCAGAACATGGGCTTTGTGGTTAGAGCCGGCCGAAGATGACCGACGCAATCCTGAGGACCATAGCCTGCCTGTCGACCCTGCCACAGGCGATCAAGGAACAGACCCAGCCCATGCAGGTGATGACCATTTGGAGGCATCAGAAGCAGACGAGATCAGCGTGGACGTTGATGTCATCGCAGAGAGTGACGCTGCCAGTGATGTCAATGCTGCAGCCGAAGGTGAGGCTCCAATGGCCGCTCCAGGTACAACAGATCCAGCTGGCCCAGCCCATCACCCTGACGCGATGACATTCGACGTCATGCAGACCTTTCAGCAGTTGCCACCGCACCTGCAACATGACTTCCAGTCCCGAATCTCAGCGGCTATCCAGATGGGCGTCGAATGCTTCCAGTTGACAGGTCTCAGCGAGGACGAAGCCTTGAACAACATGAGATCGCTGAGTTGGGGGTTCATCAGGGATATGACCCCGCTGGAAGTTGCTCGTGCGAAGAGGCAACGGTATCATGACCCTGAAAAGGGATCGGGCAAGGGTGCCCCTTCAAGTTCTGCCAAGGGCTGGTTTTGACAGCATCCTACATCACCGGCTTCTACATGACGCTCAGACCGGAGTGAACATAGGACTACAGAAAGCTCAGGCCGCTGTTTTTGGCTATAGGCTGCAGCGGCTGCGATACTATTTTTATCGAAGGTAAATCATACCTTCCAATTTCAAGTGCAACCAGTCACCAGAGACAGGTGCAGCTCGAAACGGCCAAAAGATGAAAACCGATTCATCTCATCAATTTTCAGACAGTTCAATCTTCAGCATTTTCAATTGCAGATGTTCTGTTCATTTTCACTCACAGATTGAGTTTTCCTTCCATCCTTGTCTTTGGCTACAGTTTTGTCTTGGCCTATGTACGGCCGATCCCGCTGGGGTTCCGGTGCAAGGGGGAAAGCAGGAACCTCAGCGTTGACCCTTTGACAAACATTGACTCCTTGACAAACAGATGTCAGAGACAACCATTTAGTGGAAGTGATGACAAGCTTGACAAACAGATGTCAACCATGTCAATCCTAGGACAATCAGATGCCAGGAGTCACTTCTAGTTGATTGACAAACCGAAGTCAACACGTTTGAAGTTGGGTCTCCCCCCTTTTCTGGTAATACAGCTTTTCGTTTAGTTCGATCGACCATTAGGCCACTGGGAGCGCAGTCAAGTCCTCAGTTTGCCTCTGGTGATAGTCAATTTTTGATCAAGTTCGGACTTCTTTGAATCTTTCAGCATCAGAGCTGAGAAGAGAGTAAGCATGAAAATTAAATGGTCAACTACAGGCCAGAGACGAAAGAGTCCAGACCTCAATTTCGGAAGAGTGGTTTAATCAGGTTGCATCGGTTGACAACAGAGTTAGCCCTGCAAGAACCTGTGTGCCCACTTGTCCCTAGGTGGAAGGAGATGGGCTCGAGGAAACTTTAACCTCGAGTAACCTTCCACGCCCTCTGGCTGAGGCAAGGACCCAGAGATTGGTGACGGTCAACTGAGATCGAATCGTGATCCTTTGAGTGAAACTAGAGGGTATCTCACTTGTGGTGGTGGCAGGAGGGTCCAACAGAGGGTCCTCGGCGTCTTCGGCCTGACCCTGGAGTACAGAACTCAATGGGTTTTTGAGGTTTGGATGAGATCTTTCCAAAATTTTATTTTTTGACGTCCTGAGGTTTTGTTCTGTGATAATTTGTAGTCATCGCAGGTGGATCCACCGGAGGATCCCGGGCATCATCAGCCTGACTTTGGAGTGTAGAACTCAATGGACTTCGGAGTGTTAGGATTGAATTTCAAATTTTTGAAAAATGTCCTTCGAGCTGCCTTGATTGGATTTCCGTTATTTTGAGATTCATTCATGTCCCGGCTGGCGGCTGGTGTCAGGTAGACCTACGAGCGTCAGGATTCAGTGAGACGATAGCGCAGCATCCGAGGGGGCCTTCTCTCCCTGCATCCGGTTCCATAGATCCAGCTGCACCCGGCTTGTTGCATCCACACCGTTGTACAGATCCTGCATCCGAGCATCCGGTAGGTTTTGTTGATTCGGCCGGGGTAGGCTTAGAGGAATGGGATTTGTTTGGGGTAGAAGGGACCGATTACTTCGGGGAAGATCACGAAGATCCATTTCTGCATCCGGAACTCTACGAGCCATCAGATCATCCACCTGAGAGCCCAGGTGATTTTAGGGAGCATTTCCAAAGCACTCCATTTGATCACTCGTCATGGAAGAGATTTGCAGAATCTGAAATCATCCAGACTCAAGTAAAGAGGCTGAGGCTTGCTAGTGCAGAAGGGTCCCTGACTCACTCTTTCCTCAGTGATACACCGGGTACTATGTTGAACTCAATGTTTTCCATCCCTGATCCGAGCTTGTCCATGTTGCTTGAACCGATGGAAAAACTTGAGCCTGAAGTAGAGATCGAAGCCAAAGAGAAGCTCTACCACGCTCGAAGGGTGAGAGTCAGTAAAACTGACGATGACCTAAGAGACGCAAGTATCACAAAGTTGCAGAAGATTGTCTTAACTGATCCTGCTGCTACAAGGTTGGGTGAACTTCTCGTGCCAACATCAAGTCGCCCTCTAGATGAAAGGGAAGTCCGGAGATCCCTCGAGCAAGCCTTCTCGAGGAAATCCTCGGGGACACTCTACAAGAGGGCATGTTCCCTGTCTAGATACATCGACTGGTATGGCCGGCTGAATCGGAGGGGATCTCCACTCAGACTCAAGGAATTTGACATTTACAGCTATCTAGGACATCTCGAAGATGATCGTGCAGGTGCCACTTCAGCATCCGGTTTCATCGAAGCACTGCGATTTTTGGATGGAGTGGCAGTTTTCATCTATGCAGATCTCCAGAAAGTTCTGTCCCCAAGGGTGCTGGGTTACGCCCATCAACAATTCCTTCGAAAAGCACCACTCCAACAAAAGGATCCAATTCAGTGTGGAGTTGTGGAAGAGTTGGAGAAGTTGCTCCTGAGGAAGACCGACACAGTCCAGGTCTGCATCCTCGGGCAGTTACTCTGGTGTTTCCATTCGGCAAGTCGGTGGAGTGACAGTCTGAAGTTACAAAGCCTTACCCTGGAGAAATCAAAAGATGTCACATTGGTGGTTGGCGAGGCCCTTGGATCGAAGACAAGTCTGACCAAAGAGGCAAAGACCAGGCTCATCCCCTACGTTGCAATTGGAACGGGGATCAGTGGTTTGAATTGGGCAGAGAGCTGGCTGGACGCTAGAGTATCGGAATTTGGCCGTGAAACAGAGCCCTTCTTGCCGTCCTTTTCTTGCCGCACTGGTCGATGGGCCACAACACCTATGTCGAGCACAGAGGCTTGTGGGTATCTTCAGGATTTGGTGGCCGAGTGCTTGTTGACAATGGAGCCCAAACCAAAAATGGACCTGAGGAATTTGGGCACCCACTCGCTCAAAACAGGTCTCCTCACAATGGCGGCAAGATCCACCACAGTGAAATTTTCCATGGCCGAAAGGAGAATTTTGGGCCACCACATCAAAGTCAATCCTGACATACAGCCGTGAATCCTACACAGGGATCTACGGAAAGATCTTGGCCTGCTTCATGGAAATCCAAGCTGGAACTTTCCACCCTGACTTATCGGCTGTGGAGCGAATCCTTGAGACAGCAGAGGCAGTCGCATCGGGATCCAGACTCCATGAAAGCCACGTCGTGGCCGAGGTTGAGCACGGGGTGGACACCTTGGATGACCCTTGGGAGATATCCTCCGAATCTTCGGAGGAGCAGGCCGATCTGGTCGAAGAAGTTGCAAGAGAGGAGGCAGTGACAGGCCGTACTCCGTTCCCTGGAGGCCAGGAACTAGAGTGCATCGTCCATCGAAAGAGCGGAATCGTTCACTGTCTCCTGACATCCGACATGACAAGGTGCGGAAGGCATCTTTCTCCAAACTATGTTGCTCTCGATCAGACAGCCATCGAAGACATGGAGTGTTGCATTCTGTGTGGTAGGCACCTTGCAGCTCATCAGGATTGAAAGAGAAAAAGCGTGGGAGCGTTTCGTCGCAGCGAAAGTTTGACATTGGCATGTCAGGTTAATTTCAGGCATCAAAGCCTTGGATAAATCCTCCAAAAACGTTTTGATTGCAAACATGTCCAGCATCACAACCTGATTTCAGGCATCAGAGCCTTGTGTAAATTTCAAGAAGATTTTTATTGATAACATGTCCGACATCAGAGTCTGATACTGTGAGATCTCTCAATTTCAGGGCAGAGTATGAACCCCAAAAGAAAGGGCTACACACTGTCGGTCTTCAGTTGGCATCAGAGCCTTCATCATCAGCTACACTCTGCATGTGCATCAGGCATGCCAGTGATTCGTGCTGATCATTTGTTTACCGACGCAGCCCATTTTGGGAAGTTCATATGAGTTTTGAGTGAAGAGAACACATCCGTGTGCAATCATTTCAAAGATTTTCAGGCATCGTCCTATTTCAGAAAATCTTGACAGGCATTGAGATCAACTCGAACCTTCTCAATATATTCATGGAATTGCATCAGAACATAGAAATCCAGGGAAAAAACTTGCCGGTCCAAGGCCATGTCGGTGTTGGATAGTAAGGCCGCCTTCTCTGAAAGACTCAAACAGCTTGGAGTGGAAGATGAATTGAAAGTAGAGCTGCAGGCAAAAGGCTTTGAGACATATGGGTCTTTGGCATTTGCGGTATCAACAACGCCACAGCAGGTGACAGATACCATCCTAGATGCCTGGCTAGCAAAGGTGACAACGAGGGAGCTTTCCCCATACCAGACATCTTGCATCAGGAGGCTGGTAGTAGAGTCTCATGCGCTTGCCTTGAATGATCTACAACGCAAAGTCGACCAACCGTCAGATCCTCAGCTCACAGCTAGGAAGCTACCGATGGCCGAGAGGCAAATGCGACAGTCAGAGCAAGAGACCCGGTTAGAGGGGATCATTTTCTCCCCGGAGGTGACTCCTAGCCACTCACTGGTGGACCAGTGCGTCAACATGTTGGAACAAAACGTTCTCAGTTGGATCAAGCCAGAAGAACGCACATCGAGATCCCAGGAGATACAGAGTCTCAAAAAGGACCCCAAGGTGACTCTGGACGCTAGCGGCAACATCAAGATCAGTTCAAAAGCAGTGGCCACGACATGCTCAGTGTCGTCAGAATTGGACCTGAGGAACGCATTGCAGAGACGTTCATTGGCCATGGACCAAGCCAGGTTGTGTTCTTTCCGCGAAGCAGAGATGTGGGTTCAGCATTTGTTCTTGTCCCATGAAAGAGCACAGCCATCAGGTTTTTCATCGGTATCTCTTCAGCAAATCATCGAATGTGACAAGCAGATGTTCATCAGGGCCTCGAACAATTTGGTAGGCAAATTGCAACCAGAGCCTGGCGCATCCAATACGCCTTTTGATCGGGAACTCAAAGCCCTCCGAACATCGCCGGAGCTGATGCCATACCTGATGCCTCTGCCATCCAAGCCTGCACCCAAAACGCCTGCACCAACCAGGCCGGACAAAAGGCCAACATCCGATGCAGCAGATCGTCCTACCAAGTATGCAAAAGGTGCAGGCAAAGGAAAAGGCAAGTTCAAATCCAAGTCGAAGCAGGGGCCAACGATTGAGCTGCCGCCTGGCTGTGTGGCCAAAACACCCGATGGCAAGCCCTTGTGTTTTGCGTACAACAAGGGAACATGTGGCTTCCGTGGAAAGGTCCCCGTTGCCAAAGGGGATACCATCTGTGCTACAAGCAAGGATGCCACAAAGCCAAGCCGTTCCATGAATGTAGCCACAGCACGGAGTGACAATCACCTGTCACCCCAATCGATCTACAGCAACAATCATCCGTTTCACAGCAGCAACCTCTGGCAGTCGAAATCTGTTGTGGACAGGCCTCACTCTCCAGAAGTTTGATCAATGCAGGTTTTTCCGTTATCGCAGTGGACCACGTTTTGCACAACCCACAGGTGCCCGTGACTCTTTTGGATTTGACAGAGCCTCAACATCAGAGAATCTTAACAGATCTTTTGCATAGTAGGCCCCCTGAATATATCCACTTAGGTATGCCATGTGGCACAGCATCGAGGGCACGGGAAAGACCCGTCGCCAGATCGAAAGTTCTCCAGGGGGCCCCACAGCCTCCACCACTGCGCTCTGCCGATCACCCATTAGGCCTGCCCCACATTAATCCAGATTCAACCTCAGGTATAAGACTGCAGAAAGCCAATCAGTTGTACAGATTTGTCATCGACATCCTCCTAATTGCCATGCAGTATAACATCGCAATTAGCCTGGAGAATCCATACCGATCCTGGTTTTGGGCGGCCATTTTGGCACTTGTACAGGCCCAAAACAATCCAGCGCTCACGAAATTCTGGGACTCACTCACAGAAGTTTTCTTTCATAACTGCTGCCATGGCGGTCAAAGAAAGAAAGGAACCCGCTGGAAATCCAGCCCAGGAGTTTTCCACACGCTGTCTGCGACATGCCAAAATGACCACGATCACTTGCCATATCAAGTACACACCGAAGATGGAACATGGATTTTTGACACGGCCAGTGAAGCTGCCTACCCGGAACTGCTCACGCAAAGGGTTGCAGCCGCCATTCGAAACTTCTTATCCCCAAGAAATTTTTCGTTTGCCCCACCACCCAACCCAAGACTGACCTCGTTGGCCATGCAACACCGCCAACATAAAAAACGACGTCAGTTAATTCCAGAGTTTGCCCACATTCACTGGTTCTCCCCTAATCACAAAATCCAAGATTTTCAAAAACTCCTGCCTTCTTCCCATCAGGGGGAATATCAGGAAGAAGCCCAGCCACATTCCGAAAAAGACATCTTGGTAGGGACTTGGCATACGCCGGAAGAGTTCGTAAGGGAAGCTCAAAGTGCTGTCCACCCCATGGACGAATGCGCTCTGAACAAAATTACGAAAGATGCCATTGACTTCGTAGTAAAGTCCGATCCCAGATTGGTGTCAATAGAAAGGAAGAAGAACCTGCTGAAGGCGAAGATCTTGGCCAAACAGCTAGCGGGAGATGAAAAGTCCTTGCATGAGAGCCTTCCCGAATCGGTGGAAAAAGTGGTGAGTGACAAAAAGATCCTGTTGTGGCAGACCTTACTCGAACAAAACGGGTATGATGACATGGACGTGACCAAGTTCATGAAGTCGGGGGTTCCCCTGGTGGGTGCTCATGACCATCCACCTTGCTACCCTTTGAAACCAAAACTTGCCTCATTGACAGAAGCCGAGCTGAGAAGTTCAGCAATCTCCTGCCGAGTTGCCCTTGAAAACAGACGGCCCCAGACGGACGCGCAAGGCTTTGCTGAACACCTCGAATCTACGGCCCTAGAAGAGGTAGGTATGAAGTTCTTGGACGGCCCATACTATGCCGACACTGAAGTAACAGACATCTTTGGCCATCCCAACTGGAGGATCATGAGGCGGTTCGTGATCGAACAGGGAGCCAAGCTCAGGCCGATAGACGATGGGTTGGAGGCGCAACTCAACTCTGCGTATACATCCACCATCAGGCTTGATCTCCAAGATGCCGATTACGTAATAGCCCTGGCATTGGAACTGGGCAAGACTCCCGAGTTGAACTGGATGGGGAAGACCCTTGATTTGTCCAAGGCGTACAAGCAGCTGCCAATTGCCCCACATCACAGAGATTTGGCTGTAGTCTTCTTCAGAGATAAAAATGGGGATCCCAGGTACTACATCCCTAACGCTCTGATGTTCGGCTCAACGGCAGCGGTTTATGCCTTTAACAGGGTTAGTCGCTCTTTGTGGTTCTTGATAAACAAGTTTCTCAAGGTTCCCTCTGCGGTATACTTTGACGATTACCCCATGTTTTCCCCAGAAGGGGCCGCTGCAGAGACAGATGCCCTGGTGTCAGATTTCCTGGACCTTCTTGGTTGGAGGCATGACCGCACCGGCCCAAAAGGTAAGCCCTTTCAGCCGACCTTTGATGTTTTAGGGATGTCATTGCAATTAGCCGGATTGCCAGAATCCCGGACCATCACTTTAGGCAACAAGGAAGGGCGCATCGAAAAGATATCCTTGAAGGTACAAAAGGTCCAAGAGGCAGGTCAGATGACCCTTGCAGATGCCCAAGAGATTCATGGTTTGCTGAACTTTGCCACCGGTTACTTCGCCGGGAGGGCTCTCCGGTATGCTTGCTTCAAAATTTTCTCTCTGGTAGACAAGGGGGACTCTAAATCTCCCCGCTTGAAGAAGTGGTGCGAAGAGGTCTTAGTTCTTCTTGAGAGTGTGCAGCCCCGAACAATTCCGGTGGGCATCAACACAAATACAGTGCTGATCTTCACAGATGGTTCATGGGAAGCTGGTGTAGCAGGCATCGGTGCAGTGCTACTGGACGAATCAAGTGGTGCTCGAATTGTAGTTCAAGACCGAGTCCAAAGTGACCTCCTTGCTTTGTGGAAAGATCTTGTAGGGGACCACTTGATTTGCCAGATCGAACTCCTGGCAATGGTGCTGGTGCGATGGCAGTGGAGGCAAGAGTTGCACAACCGTAGGGTCCTCTTGTTTGTAGACAACAACTCCGCCAGGGGAGGTGTGGTCAAAGGGCGTTCCAATAGCCCTAGCATGGACGACCTGTTGAAGGCCTTCTTCTCAGTAGAGGTCCATCTGCCATCCTTCTGGTGGATTGAGCGGGTTCCAAGCAAAAGCAACCCAGCGGATGAACCCTCGAGGTTCGAAGGAAGGGCCGCAGCGGTCAGATGGTCTGCGAAGTTCATCTCCGAGTTCAGTTGCCAATCACTCGTTGCCAATTGGTTGGTGAAAGCAGCGCAAAGCAGGAAGCACGGTTAGAAGAAGGGGGAATGTAGCAACCGAGCTATCCAGCTATGTTGACATCACCAGTCAACCCTTCCAATGGAACCTCATCCAAACAGCTGGATCATAACAGGCACAGACCGAAGCAGAGACATCCGAGTCTCAGACATGACTTCCCCCGATCCATGGTCAAAAAAGAGTGTGGCTTGTCAGCTGCTGCGCATTGGAAGTTGTTGTGCAAATTGATCTTAGAACAACAGAGGAATTGTGGTTTTTTAGGATCAAGTGATTAGAACAAGAAGGGATTTTACACAACGTGGATAGCACCTTCTTGGGCGTAAAACTTGAAAGGCTCATTTAACAAAAAATGAGACGGCCTAAAAAACCTCAATAATATAACTGGTTTGGAAAACAAGAAAAAACTTCGAGTGAAACTTTAAACATGAGTCTGTTTCCGTATATCGACCTTACCAAAGACTCGAAACGTGTTAGGAAACGTTTGACAGGATGATATCAATGTATCTCATGCTGTGATGTTCCTGGTTCAAGTCCTTCAACAAAGAAGGCAAAACAAGAGCAACGAAGCTCAAATGTTTTTCATGTGCATGTTTGGCATTCAGGTAGTCAATCAACATCTTTGCACATGATCTTGAACACAGGAACTTTTGAATCATACTTCACTCAAACTTTTTCTTTTCCCGCCCTCCCAACCCTAAGACAGGGAAGGGGGGAATGTAGCAACCGAGCTATCCAGCTATGTTGACATCACCAGTCAACCCTTCCAATGGAACCTCATCCAAACAGCTGGATCATAACAGGCACAGACCGAAGCAGAGACATCCGAGTCTCAGACATGACTTCCCCCGATCCATGGTCAAAAAAGAGTGTGGCTTGTCAGCTGCTGCGCATTGGAAGTTGTTGTGCAAATTGATCTTAGAACAACAGAGGAATTGTGGTTTTTTAGGATCAAGTGATTAGAACAAGAAATGACATATCATTTTGCTTGATTTGGGGTCGGCAAAAAACAGGACAGGTTGTCATTTTACCCTCATAAGAAGCTAATTCATATGTTCCCGCCCTACATGACCCTCGGTGCATACTTTTGAAGCTCCCTCCCCATGTGTCATTATTAGATTATAGCAAAAATATTATCTAATAATAATATGGTTCATGATACTTTTTGAATTTATAAAAGTAGTAATTTATTATATAAAATATTCTATACATAGAAATGTCACCAAAACCGAAACAAAAACAAAAACCAAAACGTAAATTCAAAAAACAACCAATCCCTGAGGATTTTGAACTTTCAGATGATGAACCCACAACAGTTAAATTAGATGAAGAACAGAAGTTGACAAGTAAATTTATTACTTTTGATTGTCCTAATTGTTCTACTAAACTACAATTACAAAATGAGATTGAAATTAACCCAAAGGGGATTAAATGCTGTTGTTCGCCCTGTTCATTCAAAATTACAAAAAACGATAAAACCATGAATGTTAGCAAAGATGATGAGGGGGGTATAACGTTAGATAGTGAAATTCATAGTATCAGCTTCTCTTTTAATCGTAGGCAACTAACACCTGAAAGCGAAGATGAAAAAAATAGAAACGACATGATTAAACATGTAATGAATACCCCTAAAAGTAAGAACCAGTCATCAATGGACGAAATGGATTGATGAACTGAAAAATGAATGTTGAAAATGACTTAAAGAGTAGATTTTGTCAAATCACTTTTTGTAAATAAATATTTAATAAAAAATATTTAGTTTTTGGAGAATAAATATCTAAATAAATATATATATATATAAAATGTCTGATACAGATAATTCTGACAAGACCATTGAAATGATTACCAAACTGAACAAGTTGAACAAACAGACCAAAGGAATTGCAGACACACTTCAAAAAATCATGGAGAAACTTGATAGCAAAGATACAAAAACACAGGAAGAAGTGAATGAGGAAGGGAGCAAAACCTTTGAAAAAAAACAGATAGGCAGACCCAAGGGCGATTACGACAGCAAACGCAAACAATATTTTGATATGATAGTTGCAGGGAAAATCAAACAACCTAAACAGATGACTTTGGACTACTACGGGATTGAAAAAACAGATAATACATTCGCGTTACTAAACTAAATATTTCTAATAATTATATATATGAAATTATTAGAACTATTTTCTGGGACAAAATCTGTTGGGGAAGTCGCTCAACAGTTCGGCTTTGATGTAGTGTCTTTGGATTTGAAAAACGCTGACATTAATTCTGACATTCTGCATTGGGATTATAAACAGTATCCCGTTGGACACTTTGACTTCATTCACGCTTCGCCGCCATGCACAGAGTATTCAAGGGCTAAAACGGTTGGTGTGAGAAAAATTGATGAAGCAAACGTCATAGTAATGAAAACTATTGAGATAATCAAATATTTGAACCGAAATACTGGCTAATCGAAAATCCCCAAAGCGGATTATTGAAAAATCAATGCTTTATGCGCGAACTACCGTATTACGACGTTGATTACTGCAAGTATGGATTTAATTACCGCAAACGCACCCGCTTATGGACGAACATTACAAGTTGGACACCGCGCGCATTGTGCAAAAAGGATTGCGGTAAGGTAATCAACAACAAACATGTAGAAACTGCGCAACGCTTACCTAACGGTAAAAAAGAAAATTGGGGCGACTACGCGAAACATACCCAAAATGAACTGTATAGAATACCATATGATTTGATAAGAGAGATTTTTGAAAATATAAATATAAATCTATAAATATATATATATTTATAAATATATATTTTATATTAATTTCCCATCCCAGCTCCACACAGGCTCACGACAGCGGTTGTCCCTTCTGCCAAGCAGGGGGTGAAAACAAAGGGATTATATATGGGGATATATTCATATAATATGTGTGTGGGATATGTGGTATGATATGATATGCACAAATATGTATATACCCCATGGGAATGGAACATGTCCCCCCAAAAAAAACAGAACCCTTCTCTACTTCTACCTTCTTAGTCCTCATTAGGATTGACTAACCCTTTTTCAATTGCTGTTCTCATGAACTCTTCTCTGTCTCAGCCCTTCCGTGTTATCTGGGTTTCCAATGCTCATATGTCTTCACCTGCCACGCGGAGAGCAATGAGATTGAAAATTGGTGGTTGGTAGTGAGAACGAAATGACAATTGGGATGATGGGAGTGAATAATTCAACAGCATCATCACAATCAGTTTTTCCACCTCACAGTGCGCAAGCGAAATGCAAGTCTTTGAGAAGTTCCGCAGTGGTCGAGACTTGAAATTGACCATGCAACTCTCGTCTGAAGCCCATCCTTTGACTGAAATGTGCCCACACATAATGGGAATGTGCATATCAGAAAGGCATTCATTCTTAGTAGGGGCGGTGCACACCTCAATCAGCCATCTGAGATGCTTCACGTGCTCCAATGCGCTTGTCCAACTGACTGCGCACAGCACCGCGAAGGAAAGCAAGTGAAACTTCGCCCTTCTCAGCGCCCCAGTCAAAAGCCAAAGATGTTGTCAGACTGGCCGTTTCCATGATGCCACCAGTAATGCCGTAGAGCTCTCCAATCTCAGCAATGGGGTTCCCAAACAGAACAAACGAGAAGTTTTTCATTTTTTGCTCCGTTGTGCCACCAATCTCGCCCTTGATGCTGTCCAGCGCTTTGCCCAACTGCTCCTCATTCAGCTTCTCAATCTGCGTCAGGAATGCACCACGGGGGTCTTTCTCGGCAAAGGTGTAGAAGCTGGTCAAAACATCATTGCTGTCCTTGATGCACTTCAAATTCACTGCCTCGGTGTTTGCAACCTTCTGGGCGACACCTTGTGCTTTCTGCAACTTCTCAGGCTTGGACTTTGTCGGTCAGGACTTTCCACCACCAAGAGCGCGGATGCAAAGCTTCATCTCATTCTCGCGGCCATTATTGGCGACATTCTTGTAGTAGGAATTCCCATCCTCGCTGAAAGGAATTCCCATCCTTGTAGTAGATGGACATCTGCTCGCGCTTGAAGTTGCTGTTCATTTCCAGTAAGTCCATGATGTCTTTGATGGTGTCTCCCTCTGTGTAGTAGAAGATGAAGCGGAAATTGCTTTTCTCACACTCCAAAGTGATGATGGCTTTGCCTTTGGTCTTGGAAGTCTTGTCGGTCAGCTCCACTTCATAGAAATCTCGGTTGCTTTGGTCAGTCTTGTAGGTGTCCTTGGGAGCATTTTCATAGGGCAGCATCCTGACTTCCATCTCTGGCTTGACGTGGTTCTTTTCATATTCGCTCACATATCCACCCTTGTCAGTCTTGGCAACATCAGCGCTCAACTTGTGACCTTGTCCGCTGAATGGCTTGGTAGTCGTTGGTGGAGATGGTGCCGACGAAGTGGTGGAAGTAGGGTTGGGAGCACTGGAAGAAACATGATATCGCGTTGCCTCTTCCACAAACCGCTCAATGGCAGAACGTGGAGCACCAGCAAGGTCTGGGACTTGCCTGCACACTTCCAAAATGATTTCATCTTGGGTCATTCCTTCATTCAGAATCACAGAGGCAAGGCGAGTGTCATCACCAGAAGAAGCTTCTTCGTTTCTGACACGGGGGTTCACATACCCCGTTTCAAAAATAGCACGGGAAATCTGAAAGGCATCGATAGTGCGAGAGACGAGTTCAGGTTTCCTTGTCTTCTTGGATGGCATGTTCTCAGGCTGAACACCCAAGCGAGACAACAAGTCTCTAATGTCTCTGGGTTCCATGTCTTTGTTCATCAGTTCTTTCATTTTCTCTCGGTCGTCAGAAATGTCAAAGGCTTCAAACTGCCCAACATCAATAGGAGGGTGTAGGTCAAGGATGGCACCCATGGGGATTTCAAGAGCCATCATTCCCTTCATAGGAGAACGCGCAAAGACCAAGGTGGGCATTGCAACAGACGAAGCAACGACACGAATGCAAGTCACTTTGAGATTTTGGAAATGCTCTGAAACCAAGCTTTGGCGATTGTTTATTGCAACATC